AAGATGAGGAAATCATGGTCTTTTTTTTTTTTTTTTTTCAGAGAAATTATACTCTAATGCAGGAGATAGATCAGATAGATATGCCATATATATGTACCGTATAGGCTTGTTTGAATTAATCTTTCCAGTTACTATGAATTCTCAGCCCACAGACCTGGCTCTCTCTCTCTCATGACCTTGCTCATCTTTCCAGTTTCTTTCTCCCACTCTGTATGGTGCTCCCGTGGGGCTGCCCACAGGCCCCCTCCTGCAAGATATATATGCAATACATAATACCAGACAGGAGTAAAAATATGCTTTTAAGAAAGACACACATAAAACAAAAGGAACTGGAAAGAAGGAGATATTTTTGTAGGTAAGAAATGGAAGATGTGGGGTGTGGTGGCACACGCCTGTAATCCCAGCACTCGGGATGCTGAAGCAGGAGGATTGTTGCAAGTTCAAGGTCAGCCTGGGCTACAAAGTGAGCTCAAGGCCAGCCTGAACTGTATAGCGAGACCTTGTCTCAAAAAGACAAAAAAAAAAAAGAAGGAAGGAAGGAAGGAAGGAAGGAAGAAAGAAAGAAAGAAAAAAAGAAAGAAAGAAAGAAAGAAAGAAAGAAAGAAAGAAAGAAAGAAAGAAAGAAAAAGAAAGAAAGAAAGAAAGAAAAATGGAAAACGACTTCACATTGGGTTTGGCAATAGTTTTGGACTTAAAGACTACACGCGGGCCAGAGGTCACTGCGGATGAGGACAGCAGGCGAAAGGCACTCACGAAGGAGGACCTGGGGGCAGCCCCACAGGAGCACCATACAGTGGCATAAAGAAGCACTAGAAAGACGAGCAAGGTCAGGACAGAGAGAGCCAGGTCTGTGGGCTGAGAATTCATAGTAACCAGAAGAGTAATCATACAAGCCTTGCGGGTACATAAGCAACAGAGCATCCCCTCCGTGACCTTACTGATTATACCAATATACCACCCATTAATATCACTTAGGTACAATAGGGCAAATACAGCATAGCTTAACTTGGGGTATGAAGTTGTGATCTGTCTTTTTAAGGATTAATGGCATCAAGTGGATTGTAGGTGGTACCAAAAAACTTCAGGTAAAACGCAGTAAAGTTACATCACTCTGTGTACACAGTCTTCAGCACAGGAGGCAGAGGAAGAAAGAGAAAGAGGCAAGTTTAGGATGAGGAAGTCCTCAAATACAGAAGAGCTGATTTATAATTTCACTTTATGCTTTTAACATCACTGTCTAGTATACTGAAAAACGGAACAGTCTCCAGTTGATTTTGCCAGGTGTAGATGAAAATGTTTCCAAGGACCAGCAGGTGGCGCTTGTCACTCAGTATAAAAAACAGCAGGTGCGGCGTGAAGTTGAGGAGCTACGCAGATCACGCATCCATCTGCTCAAAGAAGAGAGAGGGGGATGGGAGGCTCCAGCAGCACAGTTTATAACAGGGTATCGGCCTGTCCACACGGACTGTCAGTTACACGGGGGTAACCCCTTTATAAAATGTGCCATAGGTGCCGGGCATGGTGGCGCACGCCTGTAACCCCAGCACTTGAGAGGCTGAGGCAGAAGGATTGCTCAGAGTTCGAGACCAGCCTGGGCTACATAGTGAGTTCAAGGTCAGCCTGAACTGCCCAGTGAGACCCTGTCTCAAAAGAAAAACAATGTGCTAAAAGTAGCAGGACTTCACTTTGAGCTCTCCTGATATGTTACTGAACTTAGGTATTTTTTCTAACAAATATGATTTGCGATATACCCATTTCATATGGAAATTAGTATGGAGAGTCCTCCAAAAAATAAAACTGGAGGTTCCATTTGACTTAACTGTACCCCTTCTAGGTATTTTCCTGAAAAAGTTAAAAGCATCACACCACAGCAATACATACATACCCATGTTTACAGTGGCACAATTTATAATAGCTAAATCTTAGAAACGCCCATAGCCCCGTGACCAGAGGAAAAGGATAAGGAAAATGTGTATTTATCTACAATGGAGTACCACTCTGCCCTAAAGAAGGATGAACCTGAGACATTTTTAGGTAAGTAGGTGCACCTTGACACCATAGTCTTAAGTGAAGTAAGTCAGACATACAAGTTTAAATATTGCATTGTTTCTCTTACGTGAGAATCCCAAAGTATAAACAAGGGGCAAAGTGGAGAACAGGTATCAGGAAGTAGGAAGACCTTGTTCAGATGGGAAAGAGAGTAAGAGATGGGGGAAAGGGGAGGGAAGGAAGCAAAAAGGGATGTGAAGGGAAAATGGAAACAGCTTTTGTAAATGGAGATCCGATAAAGGGTGGAGGGTGAAGCGGGAAAGAGTACAAAAAAAGAATTACACTGTGTTATGTACATGTCCAAATCCCCCACGATGAGATCGTCATGGGCTGACACACACTAATTTTACAATGATAAAGTAAAATAAACCAGACGATTCTTGATTTTCCAGTGGTATCGAGCTTACCCTTGAATCATGTGCACATGGAGCCTGAGCAGAGCAAATGCTGTTTTCCTGGCTTTCCTGCCCGACCCTCAGAAACACTTCTTTTAGAGCGCAGCCGGGAAGGCAGTTCGCTCACCCTGAACACGGGTGGTTTCGAGGCTTGCTCTGACGTTAGGCCGGTAGATGCCAAAGCAGAGTTCGAGAACTCTTTCATAATGAGTTGCTGTTTCCAAAAGATAGATGCATATACACTTAGCACATGATTTAAAGGTTGTTCCACAAAGCAGCAAACCAAGGCTGGTTTCCAAGTCTTCCTTTGTGTTCGGCTTGTCGGCTGAAATGCTCTATCTGTTTCCATTTACCCTAAGCAGACTGTAAAACACAAACTTGGGCCAATCCTCTGTGAACTTTCTTTAAAGCTGCCCTCGCTATCTCCTTATAATAAACTTTTATGGCCGTTTTTAGTACGGTCAGACAAGTATTGGACAAATACTCTCTTGTAGTGGTTGGCAACCTTTAAATAACTGTTAGGCTTGGTCCACAAAGAGATTGCTATTATCTGAAGGCATGTTTTGTGTATTGATTCAACAGCCACAAGTGAATAGACAGTATATGCCAGGGACTATACGGAGTCATACAGAATGAAACCAAGGCTATTTCTGCTCTCCTAGGTCTAACAGAGTATTAGTGTTACTCTGAACTCACTAAGTTGCCTGGCCTGGAACAGACCCAGGGAAAGTACATGCTCCATGACCACCTCAAAACTAACCACTGCCTACGGTTGGCTCCATTTTGGGCACCGAGAACTGGAAAGTATGTTAAAGATTGTCAGACCATTTTCAGAAATAGATTTTGGGAATGTTTTCTTTTACCAAAGGAAAAGGGAAGATAGTAAAGATTCTTATATCCTTTGAATTAATGGCAGGAGAGTTTTACAAATGTACAGCTGAATTTTTTTTATTACTTTTGAAATGAACTGAATCTATAATCTTGATTTAAATTGTTACACCCCAGCACTTGGGAGGCTGAGGCAGGAGGATAGCCATGAATTCAAGGTCAGCCTGGGCTATATAGTGAGTCCAAGGCCAGCCTGAACTACATAAAGAGAACTTGTCTCAAAAAAACAAAACAGAATAAAAAAATCCAAAATTGTTATAGAAAACCCAGCTACACTATGAAAGAGAATGAGCAGGGCCAGGGCCCCCCATGTGTTAGTCCACAAAACAAAGCCATGACAATCTCTACCAAGAGAATGAATAATACATACAATCTCAAGCAAATAACAAACCATTTCTCTGTGATTGGCACTATTAATATCCATGAGTCGGCTCTGACATCTCTAGGAAAGAAAAAAGGAAAAGAAAAATCCCAGAGATGGCCAAGAAGAGAATCAATTCCAGACATACTAACTAAACACCTTCACAAAAGTACAAGTAGTGGTGAGCAGAACAAGGAACAAAAAAAAATTCAGATATCCCAGAATGGAAAAGTCTACCTGCTTGCTTACTTATAATAATCACAGCCTGTGATACCTTTAATTTTGTCTTCTATTATCAAAACAACAAGTAGAGGCTCTGCAAATTGTAGACCGTTGAGCTTTTTGTCTGTGGAGGAGTGCTTAAAAGAATGTATGTCCAAGGTTATTCTCAGTATCTTTCCAAGAGAGACCAAGATTACAGTGTGGAAGAGGAGGGTCAGGAGGCTTTCTTATCTCATGCAGTGGGTGACTTGCAGTCCAGATGCCTTTCCATAGCAGAGGGAAGGAGACAGAACTCTATCTTATAAAAGTCCAGGAATACACGAGATAATGTGTGGAGGCTAAGGTCTTCACTCCCGTTCCTCCATCAAATTTTCTAGCCTAATGAGTGTTTTATTTCCTTGTAGCTACAGCAGGTCAATGCATTTGGACGTACCCTGCTGGCTTCCTCAAGGGCTATTTGAGGAAGCTGACAGATTATATACAAAGTAAAAAATGCTGAAATGGAGTGCTAAATCTATAAAGTAAACAGAGATCTAACTACTTTCTTAAGAAAATACTTTTTTTTTTACATGCCACAATTTCTTTCACTGGAAACTATTGCACTTACCTGTTTATTAATAATAATGTCTTATTTATTGAGTTTTCTTAGCAGTTAAATAGGATTATGACTTTCTGCATTAATAGGCTAATGCCTTCTAAGGAACGCTTTTCCTCGGGGTAGAAGCTGCGCACAGACTGCCCTTCAGGGTCATGAAGCCCTGTGTGCCCACCGTGACCGTGTGACTTAGGAAATGTGAGCCAAGTTCCACAAAGCTCTAGCTGCAGCTGTAGACCAGAAGTAAATGTTGCTTTTGCTCACATGCAGTTTTGGTATCTGAGCTTAGCTATCACACGGGCAGAATTTTGCATAGAACTCTCTTCCTTTCTTTGGTCTCACCCTCTAGAATACACCATAGATCCAAAATGGAAGGAAAAAAACAAAAAAGAGGAGGGTGCAAGGCTGTACATTTTACTTGGGCAAGTCATGTGATTCAGCTATACCTGCACAGTCATAGTAGAAACTGAAAAAAGTAATCCCAGCTCACCTGTGCCTGCTGTTCAAGCAGTTTGTTTTGATACCTCTGAATCGACTCTTTAAGTTGCTTCTCTTTCTCACTTCTTGATGGGGACACCATGCTCAAGGTGCCCAGGGGGATGGTAGGTAGACGTTCTATATCATCGCAACTGCACAGTTAACAAGCACAGATTAATATCAGGGGAAACTAGGAAGCTACCTACTGTCTGTAAAAAAAGATTTACTTCTACAAGGCGCTACATTATCTGTTACGTACCCAAAATCAAATACAGAAGAAGATCATTATACGGATGACTTTAAATCTCCTATTTGAAGGGAAAAGACAGAAGCAAGAACTGTGGAGGGTAGCATATATTTATGAGGATGGGATGTTATTTATTTTGCTAATGCTTCACTTATCCTACATTATAACTCAATGAAGTCTTTTACAAGAAACGCTTTGTTAATCACTGAGAATAAAAAAAAAGAATTTAAGGACTGGTGACATAGCTCAGTGGCGTAACTGCCTGCCTGGCAAGCACAAAGTCATGAGTTCGATTCCCAGTACCAAAAAAAAAAAAAAAAAATCACTGAGGCTAATCTCATTACTGCCCTACATCCCTGCCCCACCAAATGGGGTAAAAATCTATACATTTCTTTAAAATATATCAAATAATCCTTCCTCTGACACACATGGGTCCTTTGTTCGGTGACTTAGTTTCACAGACAAGACTGTGGCTGTGTGTGCTCTGGTACTGAGTGAGTCTGGGGTCTGAGACCCTAGATCAGCCTCCCCAGACAGTCCCTGAGAGCGAGTGCAGCTCCCTTCCCTCCCGCAGGGAAGGTGCCTGGACTTGGGAGTCGCTCAGACTTCTGTGTTATGAGGCCATGTAGAATCATGTGTAAATAAAGGAACAAAAATCAGGCTACGGCGATGGACAAGCACTTTCCTCATCTTATTTGTAAAAAGTACTGACTTAGAGATGTCAGGCTTGCAGGTTCGAGGCCATTATTTTTCCTGCTCTTGCTTTCATGGCTATGTTCTTAGGAGCTGAGCTAAGCTGCTAAAAAGGGTTTTATTTTATTTTGTTTTTTGCCGGCATCAGGGTTTGGCATGGATAAGAACTTTGAACTCCCGCTGGGCCTTGCTCTGATGCCCCTGCCAACAGAGAAAAAGATTCAAATGCTACTGTGAGGAAACACTTACTTCCCCCACATATGGTGTTTGCTGTTATTGCTGTATTCAAAAAAAGGTGCTAGGTAAATAAATCCCAGCAACCAATACTATATATACAGCCACTTGCAGTGTGGATTTGAAGACGTGTAAGGGGTATCTACATAGGCCTCTGCTTCATTGGAAAAGAGAAAAAAAATTAAGAAAAGGGAACTCTTTCTTATTAAAATGCAACCCACTCAATTGAACTTCACTTAAAAGTTTTTGGAAATGAATCAAAATTTAATATACGATATAACCTGTAGGTATTTTTTAGCATCCTTTTCACAATCTGGACATTTTTGATTCAGCCAAGAATCAGGTATCATTTTTACCCTGCTGGTGATCCCTGCTTTCAATGCAGGTAAATGCACAGCGTGGAGGCAATGGAAGTGCTCTGGTACCTGTTTCTCAGGCACTGTGAGAGAAGCGTATCCTCCCTCTGTGCTCAAGTGGAAAACAAAGGAAGGCCTCCGAGTCTGAAAATGAGCAACAGCGCTTTAGTGTGTCTAGGTAACTGACCCTGCAAACTACCATGTGTAAAATGGTATATTTCAGTCACTAAAAAGCATTTAAATGAAATTGGGCTTCCTGAAATGTTACAGCAGGCCTTCTGGGAGACCCTGGTCGGACAGGAAGAGTAGCGGTTTTGGACCAGGCTCTTGGCTTCTAATGTGGGACTTAGAGAGGAATCCTGGGCAAGTCATTGAAAGCTTCTTAGCCTGGTTTCTCCTCTGAGCAAAGGGGCAAGCTCATGAAGCTTTTGTAAGGAGGAGTGGGACGACCTGTAATTGCCGTGGAAGAGGAAGCGAATGTGCTTCTGGCCCACGTTCTGACTACAAAACATGGCTCGTTCACAGGCTGTTCACTGGCACTAACCCTGTTGGCACCTGGCAATCAGCTGCTGGCAACAGACCGCACCTTCTGGAAATGTAGGCAGGGCCACGTCACCTCGCTGCTCCTTGCCAACAATCGTAGAACGCTGCCTAGTAAACAAGCATGTGTCTGTTCTCACCGTTTCATGCATCCAGTCTATGGGATCGTGTCCAAATCTAACGAGGGGCCATCTCAGGATGTAAGCCAGGGCAGGTTCAACACTGAATCGGAGGACAGAAAGGCCGCCACAGGAGTTCCCCCTCCCACTGGGGCTCATGCTGTGGACAACCCTGAGCTCTACACAGGAAGTGCCAACTCTCCATGAACTGCCTTTGTAGTCATGAGGTTGGGTTTTTTTTGGTTTTTGTTTTGTGTTTTTTTTAACATTTCCCTAAACCTCCTGCTGCACCTTATGCATATTCTTGTTGTACTCTTCTGAGGTGGAAATTAAATACAGATGGTCACTAGTATGTCAGGGTGTTTAATGACTGGAGGCTTAAGAAAAGTATAAATATAAGCCCTTTTGGCGTTTTAGACTCTCAAGGTCCATCGGTTTGCTGTCAGCACAACCGAGTTTGTCCTGCCTCTTCTCACGCGTCACAGCATTCTGATGTGTAAGAGACAGAAGGGGAGCTGTAGAACTAATTCCACAGTGTTCTGAGGTGGTACCGTGTGTTTTCAAGAGAAGAAGGCAAAAGTGTGTCCATACAAAGACAATGACAGACTGAAAATTAAAGAAGGTAGAAGGACAGCTTCCCTGTTCTGTATCACTGACAACTCTCAAGAGTGGTCTAAGGAATGCTAGCTGGGTGGTAAAATCTCTGAAGAGTAGCCCAAATCCTGGTGATGTGTCCTATGGGGATCCTCAGACAAGGGAAGTCCCAGCAATGGTTCTGACAAGGGGTTTGGCTGGACACAGAGAACACAAATGAAGATATAATCACAACACCCCTTCAAGGGGCTGGGAAGCTGAAGTGAAGATCAGTTACGCATTTGCCCCAGGATTCACTGCTGGTGGAGTGAGATCAAACCCAGGCAGCATGGCCCGAGAGTTTGCACTCTAAACACTACCCCACCCTATTTACAAAGTTCTTAGCTCGCAATGAGTAATTAATATTATTAACTGTTTTTAATACTGAGACTGAACCAATGCTGTGTTGATTTTCAGGAGATATTTAAGTCCCAAGTTAGGAGTGGAGTCAGGTTCATCGTTAGAACATCTTGGCCAATGGCCACAAACAGGTCTCTTAGCCCAGATATGGGCTTTAATTCTGACTGAGTCAGGTTCATCGTTAGAACATCTTGGCCAATGGCCACAAACAGGTCTCTTAGCCCAGATATGGGCTTTAATTCTGACTTTCCTGAAAGGAAGCATGGAGACTGAATTAGCTGTTTTGTAATCGTGCTCCCTGGAGCTCTGGGCTTTTTGCAGAGAGTAAGGAATGCAAATGGAAGTGGTGATCTCTGGGCCCTAGGCTTCTGGCCTTCAATTCACTTAGGACAGTTGCACATTTATCTGCTTTATGTATTTTGCTCCTGTGAAAAATTTTACTAGGGAAGCACACAGATCATGTTGCAAAAAAAAAAGAGGAGGAGGAAGGAAGGGAAGAGAGAGAGGGACAGAAGGGAGGGAGGGAGGAAGGAAGGAAGGAAAGAAGGAAGATGTGAAGAGGAAAAGGAGGGAGAAAAGGAGGGAGAAGAGGAAAGGAGGGAGATGTGAAGAGGAAAAGGAGGAAGAAGAAAGGAAGGTAAGAAAAGGAAATGAAAAGAAAGGAAAGAAAAGGGAAAGGAAGGGAAGGGAAGGAAAGGGAAGGAAAAGGAAAGGAAAGGAAAGGAAAGGAAAGGAAAGGAAAGGAAAGGAAAGGAAAGGAAAGGAAAGGAAAGGAAAGG